CCTCGTTTGCTTCTCATGCACATTTTGGCCAAATTTGGTAGTGGTTCGCGCCGGTTATGACTAGTATGACGCTGTATACGCGGAACGTACACCAGGTCTTGCCTTTGTGCAGCATTTTGTAATTTTAAACTCAGCATACTACAGTTTTAAAACAGTAACAATTAATAATTAAGGTGAGATTTTGGAACACAAAATTATAAAAGAAATGAAAACAATCGTATTAGGATACTGTTCGACAAGGGCGAAACTGTTTGGAACCGTTTTTTTTTTTTACTAATAAAGTCATCTTCGACCGACTTAATTAGTCGAAAACGTTCTTCATTTTTTTTTTCAAGTAAAGCGTACAGTAGAGAAATAATAATAATCATCATCATCAACAACAAAATAAGTAAGTTTCTATTTTCAAGATGGCTCGCAGGTACAAGGTGACTACCATTTTGATTTTAGAGTGACGTTTCTGGCCTCAGTAAGCCTATCAACCAAGTTCCCAGAGTTCTCAATTAGTAGGAAGAGACAGAGAAAACTGATGTTGGTCACTTTTGGGACTTAAAAGGTTAAAACTGAAACTGTCCATTTTGATATCCTCTTTAATCATTGCATTCTATTAAAAAATGAATAAATAAATAAATAAATAAGTGAATAAATAAAAATAAATAAATAAATAAAGAGAAAGAAAGGGAGTGTCCCCAGATGTCCCCTAGGTCTGGATCCAAGAAGATTTGTCATTTTAATTTTATTGATTTATTCATTGGATATAACTATGAAGTAAGGGTAATCGAAATACATCGAATTAAGGAAAAAGTCTACTGCGTGCAAAATTCGCGTCCCTTCTTGTTCAACGGCGGAGGTCGGGTCAAGCTTTTAACCTTGAAATACCGCATAGGGATATCATTTTCAACAAGGATTAATTAACTAATCAGTGAACAGAAAGGATTCTATGTCTTGTGAATATTAGTGCACTTGAATCCACTTCAAAGATAACACCATACTGATATGAAATCGCTGTAGCTTGATCATATCTTAGTTTTTCTTCGAGGCTGTTCACGGCTGTTTTGCCAGCGTAAAAATTTAACTCCCGATCCGTAGCGTCCAGCCGGACCCCAAGGCTTTCAAAGGTTTTTGCCCAAAGCCCTATACAGTTTGCATGAGTCATAAGAGATACCGTAAAATTCCGAAAATAAGCCCTCAAAATATATGCCCCACCCCCGCCCCCTCCCCCCCCAAACTCGTAACGCAAAAAACCCTATATTTCTTACTGACAAAATTCTACAGTCGCACCCCTTTTTACAGACACTCGCTCAATACGGCTCGTTCATTACGGATAGTTTTCCATATCCCTAGAAAAAGTAAGCCCTCACATTTTATCTGAGTTCAATCCACTTAAGTACGGACAACCCGTGAATAGTTGTTATACGGACACTTTCTATGCACCCCTCAGTACAGTGTCCGTTTGATGGTGTTTGACTGTACTTATAGTCTATTTTGACTGTACTTATAGTCTATTTTTTCTATTGTACTTTTTTACAGTACTATGTGAATTTCAACTGAAACGCGTACGCCCGATTCAACATGGGGTAAAAAATTAATAGTGAAAATATCCTCGGAATTGCGAATTTCCAACACTCTGATCGATCTGAGCTGCCAAAGAGGCCCTTCAATAAGATGAACTAGAGTTTCAATGCATGAGTTAACGGTCATCACGGTCCCACGCGGGTAAACAACAGCGGACAAGGCTATGCGTGGTTCTTACAAATGGTATTTTGTGATATGTCATACAGGGTGGGTTATTTTTTATTAGCTTCTTGACGAGAAAAAAAAAAACAGTCAACGAGGTTGGAAACACTGTTACTCAGGTTACCCGGTAGTTTTCATATAAAGGCATTGGTCCACACAAACAAGACAACTACACATTTAAATGGACTATAATAAACCATATAGATATAAACAAATTCTACTGTTTCTGTGAATGTTCAAAAGTTGTGCAAATCGTTATAAACGACGCATTTTCCTACAGGATAAACTTATCCTGTAGCTAGTGCCAGTTTCTTGAACATTATGTCGGATCTTTTCCATCGGCGAGCGACCTATAGATTTTTCCATAGACGAGAATCACTTTAGAGAAAAGTCCTAATCCTGGAGTTTCTTTAACAAAGTAGTGTCAGAACGTTAGCCATACAGCTATTTCGAGAGAGGTTGTCGGAAAAAGTGCACTCGACAACCCCGAAAGGTATTGTGGGTGGTTTTGAGTTCACTGTTCTTTCAAAGAAATTTGAAAGTATCAGTGCACGAGAGGGCATGGACGTATGTTTGCGATGCTAAAGGTAGGTTCGACAGCTATAGTGTCAGGAAGAGTGTATTGATCATATCCCATATTACATTTCGGCATGGTCACGTGCATGGTTCCTTCCGACACACTTTCTCGAAATAGCAATACATGGAACACAATTAATTGTAACGAACATTTAGTTTTATTTTCATTTTTCTTTTAGCCCCTAAAGACGGTTTGACGGTTTTCAAACCGAAATATTGGGCAATTTGTTTAAATACCGTATTTCCTCGAATAATAGCCGGGGTGATTATTCTTTTTTCGCACAAAAAGGGGGCGACTATTCGAGAGAAGGCGATTATTCGAGGGAGGCGATTATTTCAAATATTGCTCGGGAAGTGGTGCCCTTAATATTTTGTTTTATTTTCCCATGAAATAAGAAAAAAAAAAAAAAAAAAACAATTCAAATCACCCGAAAAGAAATAGAAACAAGAAAAATATTGACAGGGTGGAGGGGGGGGGGGGGGGGGGGGGGGGTCTGTGAAGCACTTACGATGGAGGGTTGTATATGATATATATTATATTGTGGTTTTTGTG